GAACGCCATCCAGGCACTCAGAACCCCCCTCAGGGCAATCTCTCATCCTCCAGCCACAGCCCCGGAAATTGACAGGAGATGGCCAGCAGGGGTGGGCACTGCCAAGGGTGGGAGAGCAAAGGCAGCACCTTTCTTGGCTGCTCTGGTCCCACCCAACCATTGAGAAGAGGGGCCGTGCCTTGTTTTTTCATATTCTTCTCCTTCTGGCTGTAATAATCTTGTCATTTGTAGTTACTCTGAATAAGAATGAAGATGGGTGGGGACATCATTTGTCCTTAGTGTGGTCCCAAACATTTGGCAGAGAGGGTGGTATAGTGTGTTGGATGGGGGTAGCCCCCAAAATATGTGTCCAAGCTTTGCGCAGTGACAGTATCATAGCCAATGAGGTTTATTCAAAATGGAATTATTGCTAATTGAAATAATTAGCAGTATTATCTCCACCAGAACCTGTGAATATGATCTTATTTGGAAAAAGGGTCTTTGCTGATGTAGTGAGTTAAGAACCTTCAGATGAGATCATCCTGGGTTATCGAGATGGTCCCTAAATCCAATGGAACGTGTACTTATAAACACAGAGGCAGAAGGAGATATGAGACACAGAGAGAAGGGAAGGCTGTGTGAAGATGGAGGCAGTGGAGTTAGGTGGCCACACGCTAAGACTCACCTGGAGTCTTCTCCCCTAGAGCCCTCAGAGGGAGCATGGCCCCACTGACACCAGAATTCCAGGCTTCTGGCCTCCAGACTGTGAGAAAATAAACTTTCATTGTTTTACGCCATCAGGTTTTGGTACTTTGCTATAGCAACCACAAGAAACTAATACAGGTGGGAATCAACCAGGACACTAAAACCCACAATCCTTGAAGAGATAACAGAAATCCTCTCCCCCGATGTTGCCTGGATAGGAACATGAGGGCCACAGGGATTGTTGACATGCCTCTGACCAGCATAACCAAACCTCAACATGTTACATTTCTACATGGCAGCTTGTATAGCAGTTTCTCTTTGTCAATCCCACAGGTGACAGGTGGAAAGCAAGACACAGGCTCCTTCTCATGAAAGGAAGATAAGAATTTTCTCTGTGAAAAACAGAGGGTGGTGGGTGGGGCTCTCTTTGGGCACCTGTGTGAAGCATCCAACTCCTTCCAGGCCCCTCCAGGCCCAGGGAAGGGCCTCAAATTGCAATTCTGACCAGTTCCCAGGTGGTGGGGCTGCTGGTGGATCCGGGATCACTCTTTGAGAACCACTGCTCTATAACAGTGCTTCTGAAACTTTACGAAGCACGTAAATCATCTAGAAATTCAGATTTTGACAACGCTTTGCAGTATCTGACCCTGCATTCCTTGCCCTCCATCTCTGGCCACAGCTGATTGAACCAGGGGTAGAGACGTGTGAGTCAAGGGCCTATGGGCTCCCCACAGGTCAATGACAGACAGTACCCTGATCAAATAGAGCAAAATCTAAGCCAAGTAGATTCTCTCTCTTGAGATACCGAATGGTGTCCACATAGAGACCAATCAATGCCCATTGATGGTAATCCCTGGGCCAAGAGGTCATGATGTAGAATTGGGGCCAGGAGAAAAATGAATGTGCAGAGGCAGCTGGCTCAGGATGGAGAGGAGAGGAAATTGATACACAGAGACTATGCAGCCTGGAAAGGTGGAGAGGGCGGCTTTGCTTTCTGACAGCTTTCTGATGCCCAGTTCCCATGAGACCCAACTGGGCTGTTTGCCCTCGTGTTCTGAGAAATCCCATCTCCTTCCAATAAGCTCCTCTTTTTGCTTGAGCCTTTTCGAGTAGGTTCTTGTTCTTTGAGGCCAAAAAGGCCTTATTAATGCATCTGTGCCCTTCTCCACCCTCTCCCTATGGTGAGACCCTCTGAGTCAGGGACTACTGTTTACTGTTCATCTCCAGGACCTTGGACAGGGCCAGTCACAGGGCGCTGGAGAATGTGGACTGAACCTCTGTGGATACAATGTGCTTAGGAATTAGGGGAAAGTGGACGAAGCACTTTCTAAGTGAGTGGAACAGAGGCATGGGGCAAGGATAATAAGCAGGAGTGGAGAACTACACACACAGAACCAGTAGGAGGCAAAGTTGGCTGGTAGGGAAGGCTGATCATGGATGGCCTTAATTAAACACCAGGCTAAGGGGTTGGGGTTGGTTTGACAGGTAATAGGGAGGCATCCGTGGTCTTTCCGCTGGGGGTACATGACCCAAAATATGTGTGCTCTTCTCTTTAACAAGGATCCTAAAGGCCCCGGTGAGAGGTGACATCTTGAGATAGTAAAAATGGGAAGGATAGAAATAGATCCCAGAGGTTTTCCTAGTGTAGAATCTACGGGAAATGGAAACTAGTTGGACATTGTGCTAAGCCCTGGAATGGAGAATATTCCACTAATAAACCAGCGTATGTAAATAAAAGTTCAACCTCACTGTTAATCAGAGATAAGCGAATGGAAAGAGATGTTACTTTTCATCCTATTGAATTAGCAAGGGTGCTAGGGAGGATGTGGTAAAACGGTCACTTGCATATTTCACAGCATATGTAGAGGATAAATTGGCACATACATGATTTGGCAAGTAATTTGGCAAAATGAATTACAACCTTTGAAGATTTTCGTATCCCTAGTTTCCCAGAAGTAAAATTACTAGATCTATTACAGAAATCTTCTCAAACATGTTGTTTACAGCCAAAGATATTTTTCATGGTGCTGTAGGAAACAGGCCAAACATATAATAAGATAATATTAAATTTATGTATCTGCTATGGAATAATACATAATCCACCAAAATCAAGGTTCAAAGGTTACAGAGACTATTTACAGCAAAATACCAATTTGTACAATATAACCAGTTTGATTATAACTATGTAAATGAAACACACACATAAAAACCTATGCATGGGAAAAAAAGGATTGGATGAAAATAAATCAAAAGTTTAACAGTAATTGTGCTTTTCCCCCTACTTTTCTGTGCTTTCCATTTTTTCTCTATAGCACAATAAAATAACAGTAAAAATAAGTTCCTGGAGCCTGCTACAGCACCTGCTCTGAGACTATATTCACTGGCTATTGTAACTGAGACCCCGATTCCCTCCTCTCCTTTGGATAGACGAGGAGTTTTGCTGTTTTGCTGAGTCTTTGTCTCGTCTGCTCTGGGAGGTATTTAATTCTCAATTCACAGTGCTGGGCACACAGGCAGCCTGTGCCATGGACATCTATTGATCAGTGTTTTAGTTTCCTGTGGCTGCTATAGCAAATTACCATGACCTTGGTGCCTTCACGCAACAGACATTAATTCTCTCACAATTCACAAGCCAGAAGTCTGAAATCAGTATCACTGAGCCGAAATCATGGGGTCAGCCGGCCAATGCTCTTTCTGGAGGCTCTAAGGGAGAATCCATTCTTTGCCTCTTCCAGCTTCTCCCAGGAATGGACCGAGTGCTGGAGTCTGTGAACACTTATTCAAGGCAGCCTGATTCAACGGGGCGTGATAAATGCCAGGGCATGGGCCATCTTCAAGCATTAAGGACATTCAGTGATGTTGTGTTGGGCCGGCTTCATTTCATAAAATATCAAAATACTTTCAGACCCAGGACACCTCCATATCCTCACAACCAGATTTTAAGGGGTTAACCCTGGGGAGTCAGTAGGGGCTTCAGAACTCTGCTGATGGGTAGGTTACTATATATTTTGGGGGCTACCACCCCTGATTATAATTATTCCAAAGCTCCTTAATGGAATGCTCCTGGCCCTTAGGGTGAAAGCACGCCTGCTCCTATCTTACCAGCAGGTGGCAGCACAGGAGCACTCAAAGTTCAGGGTTGCAAGAAAAAAAAGGCACAAAACCTTCCCCTTTTCAGTCAAACTGCAAAGGGACCCCTCTTCCTGGCTCTGCAGTGGTGCCCCTGTTTACCTCCAGGCACCCACCCACACATCACGTCCTGATGGACATGGGTGGGGGAGACCAAGGGTAGAGGATGGCTTTACTTTTGGGAGCTCAATCCCAAGGAATAGAAAGTTGATTTGGGAAAGATGGCATTTGGGGGAGGTGGCCAGTGCTGTCCTGAAAACTGCCCTACCTGAGTGTCACGTAATAAGATAATGTGTATATCTAGCCTGTTGGTAGCGTTTGGCAAATGTTAGCTGTTAATACACATACTTCACCTCATTTAATCCTTACAATGAACCCACAAGGTAAGTCTTAGCAGCCCATTTTACAGACAAGGGCACTGAGGCACAGAGGGGGTAGCCTCAGTGAATAACAGTGCTGGGCTTTGATTCCAGGTCGCAGGGACTCGGAGTCTAGCTGTGTCCTCCCTGAGCTGGCTGAGATGATGCTTGATGCTGAATCATAAACCTTCCTTATCAAGCAACACACACAACTACTTCTCAGTGGGAGTGGAGGGCTGTACCTACTGAGGCACAGGCCGACCCAGAGTTTCCCTGGGGAGGCATGTTTTACAGACCAGGGCGTGTGGAGGGGAGGAGGTTGAGGACGAGGGCTGACCCAGCTGCTGGGCTGGGAGGCAGAACAGAGTTGTATTTCTGCTGTCTCATTGCTGTGTGACCTTGGGCAGGTCCTGACCCTCTCTAGGTTTCTTTCCCTCATCTGTGGATTAGAGCAACTCATGGGTCCTTGTTGGTTCTCACTGTCCAGGGAATCCAGGGTACCAAACTCTCATTAACTAAAAAAAACCCCAAAAACTCAAAACTAACAAACTAGCAAAAAAGCTGTGACTATTTAGCTCATGGGGTTCTTGCTGGGATTCAACAAGGCCACAAAGAGAATTACTAGGCAGCCTGAGCAAAGCACAGCCCCAGAGCCTGAGCTGGGCTACCCGGAGCCCTGGGCGTGGCCTCAGGGAGTCTAGTCCTGCCTGGCCTCATCTTAGGTTCCACCTGTCACAGGTCGGGCTCTCCAGGAAGCAGGTCCTGAGATGGCGTTCCGAATGCAAAAGGAGAGACGGAGGAAGCAGGTGAGGGCAGGGGGAGCTATCGGACTGGGATGTAGGCTTACTACCGTCTCTGCCAGCCCAGGGGGGCTGGGATCAAACACCGCCTGTTAAAGGAAGAGAAGGGAGATGCCAGGCCCTCGTCCCACTATCTTGCTTTGTCATTAGCTGGCCCTCAATGTCCCCTATCGCCCTAAAGAGCCAATTGGGCTGGAAAGCTGAGGCGGCCCCTGGAGGAGGCTGTGGGCCACCTCCCTCCTCAAGAGCGGTCCGAGTGCTGTGTCTCAGTGTCTACACCACCACACAAGGGCTGCTCTGCCCTCTGGGGCAGGAAAACCAGGCATCGGCATTCCGTTCCCACAGGTGCAGGGACCGGAGGGAAAGGGCTGAGTCTGAAGGAAACAGCAGCAAAGGTCTGAGCCCAGTAATACATCCAGCCGGAACCGTAGAGGAAGAGGGACACCGTGAGGTAAGGCCCCAGCTCCCTGAAGGATCTTGGTCAGCGTGAAGATGTGACACTGAGGGCTCTCTGGTCAGACCCTGGGGGTGGAGAGTGAGGGGCCAGTGGGGGCTCAGGTAATAGGCATCTTAAAGAAAGCCCCACTTGGTGGTCCCCTTGCACATACGTGTGTGTTTGTGTGGGTGTGTGTGCGTGTGCCTGTAGGGTGTGCACAGGTATGTGCTAGTGTTCAGTATATATATGCTTGGGCATGAGTGTGCACATGCATGTGTGCAGGGTGTAAAGGTACACGTGTGTATGTGCATGTGTGCCTGATGGATGTGGGCATGTGTGTAGGTGTGTGTACGTGTGTGTACATACACACGATCAATACCCTGTGTTCCTCTGGCATTCAGGTGGGGGCTGCCAGCCTTGTGTACCTCTGACAGGTGGCAGCTTGGTCCAACCACCTGGATTCGGCCCAGTCCCTAGGAAAGGGACTGGCAAAGTGAGGCCAAGCCTGCAGCTAAGAGAGGAGCCTGGCTCTGAGGTTATGGCAGGAGCAGGGGACATGGGGCCATCACAGAGCAGCAGCAGCAACAGAACTACAAGATTCCTGGAGCCCACCCAGGCTCAGCTCCTTGCCAGTGAAGTTTAATCCTAAGCGCAGCCCCCTGAAGTAGGTAGTTATTCTCCCCACTTTATAGCTAGAAAGTTCTCTGAATATAGATAGAATGTTCTCTGTTCCGTTGGGTAGAGCAGTGAGGTTGGAGTCAGACTCAACCTTTTCTGAATCTATGGTGTTTGGACGTGGACAGCGCTGTAAGGTGCGGGGGACTTCCTTCCATAGACTCTCTCCCTGTAGAGTCCTCTCCTTGCCGGTAGGCCTCAGCCCTGCCACAGGGGCCTCTAGTCCAGTGTCCTCAGAGCCACCTTGACTGCAAGTTCCTGGGAGAGAGGCGTTCCCCTGTCCCCTAGTCTGGGGGAGTGAAGGGGGTCGAGAGGCCTTTCTGTCCAGCCCTCCCCTCAGTCTGGCAGAAGGGTGTAGCATACCTCGGGCAGGCCAGTGACGCAAATCAGCAGTGGGGAGGCTGCCTAGGTTGGGACGGAGCCAGGGCCTGTGGAGGCCCCTCTGTCCAGGCCAGATGGCCTCTGGCTCCAGTAGGAAGGGCTGTCAATGCCTCCGGTCAGAGTCCTGGCCCGGGTTCCTCACTCTGCCCTTGTCCAGCCCGGGCCTTCAGGTGCTGTTTGCTGAGGGGATCAGCAGATTGAGCTTTCTTTAAGATGCCCATTACCTGAACCCCCACCGGCCCCACCCCCAGGGTCCAACCAGATCCCTCAGAGTCACATCTCCACACTGACCAAGGCCCTGCAGGAACCCAGGGAGGTGGCCTGGGCAGTGGGGCCTTACCTAGTGGTATCCCCTCTCCCTCGACGGTTCAAGCTTGATTAATTCCTCATTCATTCATTCATTCATTCATTTCTCCAACGAACATAAATCAAGCATCTACTAAACACCAGCCCCTATTCTAGGCCCTAGAATTACACAGCTGAACAAGACATAGTGGTCCCTTCCCTCATGAAACTGACACCCAACTGGGGGAGACAAGAGTGAACAGGGTGTATGGTAAAGTGATTGGGGCTGGCCAGGCCCAATTCTGGGGGTGGGAGGAGCAGCAAGTTTCAGGGAGAGGAGCCAGCCTGTGGGAGGGCCCTGTGTGGGGAGATGGGTGTGGTGGGGTCGGCTGTATGCCCTCCTGGTGGTAGGGGCAGGGATGCCGGGTGTGGAGAGAAGAGACGAGGAGGCAGAGGCCAGAACGCGAAGGCCTGGTAGGAGCTGGATTTGATCCTGAAAGGGTTTCATGAAGGGGAACAAGGTTAACATTCATAGAGCTGGTCCTGCAAACAGGGCACGGTGTCAATCACTTTACATAAGCCAACTCATGCAAACCTCCCCAAAACCCTACTGTGGGTCCTATTATCTCCTATTTTACAGATGAGAAAACTGAGGCCCTGAGAGGTTAAGTCACTTGCTCAGTGACACACTTATAGGCCAGTATAGAGCTGGCTCTAAAACCCTAACTCCTGTACCACGCTGCCTCTCGGGATATAATTCCCTCATGTGCAACATAGCTTCCACCAGGAGGCCTTCCCTCGCCCCAGAGTTTGTTTGCTCTGCTGAAGCAACATAAAAACACATCATATGGTTTAAAACACTTTGGGTTCTTCAAGAGGTCATCTTGTCTCTGCCCCTGCCTATGGGTAGACATGGTATTATAAGCCCTGTTTTGAAGATGAGACTACTGAGGTTCAAAGGGGTTAAGAGACTTGTTCATTATCCAGTCAGTGAGGGAATCATGGAAACTAGAGCTGTGGCCTCCTAAATTCTTCCACTTCTGCTCCAGCCCTCCCGCCCCCAACTTTAAGATGATTCTCAGGTTGCTTCTTGTGTATTTTCTACTCCCCACTCACCCCACAGCTCGACAGCAGCCTCCCTGGGTGCCCATCACAGGGTGGCGCACACAGCAGGTACATACTCAGTATCTGTGTATGGTGCTACATGGTGCTGCTGTCCTGGGCACCTTGAGCAGGGATGTTTAGCAGAAAGGATGGATGTAAGCTGATGCTTGAAGGATGCTCAGGAATGTTTAGTGAGCCAGGGAGCTGGGTTGGGGGATTTCTGCCCTGAATGGGAAGGGCATCCCAGCCAGAGGGAACAGCATGTGTAAAAAGAGAGAGAGAGGACATGGTATGATCAAAGAATGGTAATGGTTCAGTTGGACCTGAGCATGAGGGAGAGATGGGCAATGAAGTTGGGGTGGGACAGGCTGCGGGGACAGGAGCCTGTCTCCACCAGGCTAAGGAGCTGGGGCTCTGGCTTGGAGGTTGGTGTTGGGGAGGCAGGGAGAGAGGAAGTGACCGCCTAGCAAGCTCTGGGAGAAAATCCTGACCTTGTTGAGTAACTTTGTGCAAGTCGTTTGCCTTCTCTGAGCCTGTTTCCCCCCCTCCTGCACAATTTGGGGTGGTGCCAGTTGTAAGGACACTCCAGGCCCTGTATAGACTTATTCTGTGGTCGCCGCTTTCTTACCATCCTAACAAAAAAGCTCCACTGGGTAGACCTGGGATATCTTTAATGCCCCGATTTCTTTTTGCCATGCATGGCTTTGCTCTGTGATATCCTGCCAGCCTCTCTGGAGTCACATTTCCCAGGGCCCGGTCACAAGGGAGCCTGGGTTGACATGCTCTTCTTTACCTTCAAGCCCTTCTTTTTGTGGGTCCCCATCCAGGGCAGGATGGTGCTGTGGACCTGGGCATAGGTGTGGCCCAGCTCTGAGGGTGGTGGCACCAGTGGCATCAGCTCCTCTGAGGCCCCAGGAGAGACAGAGAACAGCTCATCAGGGTCCAGGCTGGCATCGCTCCAGCCCTCAGAGCTATCACTGTAGCCATCCAGACCAGTGGCTTCATCCTCAGATATGGTGACAATCCCGGCAGGATCCTCTCCAAGGTCGCTGTCTAAGCTGCCTGCTGAGTGGTTGGTGGCCCCCTCAGACTCACTGGATGTGTGCAAGTCTGCTGCGTTCTCCTGCTTCTGCTTGGAGCCAACTGAAGGGGCACCACGGAGCCCTGCCACAGGCCGGGCAGGTGTCTTGGCTCTGCCCTGGCCAGTCCAGAAGAGAGTGAGCTCTTGGCGGCAGGCTGCCACAACCAGGCTGGTGAGCAGGGTGCTGGATACCAGGTAGAGCAAGGCGGGCTGGCCCATCTGCGTGAGGACCATGGCAACAAAAGTGACCAGCAGGCCCACGGCGTAGGCCACAGTGCAGGCTATGAAGTAGACCTGGCATGAGCGCATTTGCACATCAAAGCGATGACAGTAGGCCACCAAGAAGCCTGGGACCACGATGTCACCGAAGCCAAGGATGGAGAAGAGCTGGTCACACAGGGTCAAGGCCGAGAAACTCAACCGGGGCACTTTCAGCACCATGGGCAGCCTCTCGTGGCTCAAGGAATCTGCCGGGCCCGAGGCTACCTCCACCATGATGCTCTCACCAGTCCTGGTGAAGAGGGGTGTGACGAAGACAAAGAAGACATCAAAGGCTAGCAGGGCCAGCAGGAAGGAGGTGCAGTTCTTGAGGGTAGGCAGCCGCACACGCCTCAGGATGAAAAGGCAGTAGGTCACACCCAGCGTGTCCTGTAGGAGCCAAGCCCAGCGGTCCTCATTGCGGTAGGCCACCCAAAAGATGGTCACCACCATGCACAGGCTGGCCAGCAGCAGCAGGGGCAGCTGCAGACGGGCCCAGCGGCCAGGCAGAGGCCACTGGTATTGCTGCAGGGGCAGGTGGCGCACCAGAGGGGCCAGGCAGCTGTAGAGGCCGGTGCCGGCGCCCAGGCTGAAGATAGCAATCATGACATAGACGAAGCAGTCGTAGAGGAAGTAGAGGAGCAGCATGATGGAGCAGAACATGGTGACCACTGCGCCCATCATGGCTGGTGTGAAGTCCACCGGTTCGCCCTCACCTCCTTCCTCCTGTCCCCTCTGGGCAGCCCCTGCTTCCTGCTGATTGTGACCGCCAGGCCCCCCTCCTCCTCGGGCCTGGTGCCGCTGCAGCCAGTCAGCCTCGGTCAGGCCTGCCCAGTAGCCGCCTACAGCCACCGTGCCTACAGCCAGGATGAAGATGACCACCATATTATAGTCAAGAATGGGCTCTGGGGGCGCATACAAGGCCACCCGGACCTCAGCGCCACCGTGGGCATGGCTGAAGATGTCAAGCATGTCGGTATATCGGAGCACGGCCACGGGGATGGTGATGTCTGGCAAGGGCGTGAGGGGGCTCCAGGATGTCAGGGTGGCCTCTGAGCACTGTTGGCTGCTGGCCCGGCTCACAATGAGCAGCCCGTGGGCGCCTTGGCTCTGAGCCAGCCAGCCCTTAGCATAGAAGCTACAGTTGCCCCTCATGACCATGGCAGTGGTCCGGTGGAGAAGCCGCTGGCTGGTGGAGCTGGGCTGGGCCTGGTGGGACGGGCCCTTGCCTGGGCACCAGGGTGCCGTGGTGCCATCATGCAGGGGCAGGAGTGGGGCATGGCGCAGGTCCCGGGGCAGGGTGATGTAGTCGGAGCTGAACAGCATGCAGTAGTCCTTGCTCCAGTTCTGTGACACCACGTGGACCACGCCGTACTGCCCCCTGGCCACAGCACCGGTGAGAAAGAGGAGGAGGAAACCCAAGCACGCCATCCTGAACCACCTACCACTGCCTCCCAACCGGGCAGCTCCTCACAGCCCATTTTCCCCTCCCAGGGAGTGGGTGTGGCCCTCTGTCACAGAGCAGCATGGCCTCCCATCCCAGAAACCAGGGCCACACCTACCTAGTCATAAAGCTGTGCCACTGGGTCCCAGGGAACTGCTGCAGAGCGGGACCCTCTCAGGATTCTGTCCCCCAACCTGACCTCTGAGCAGAGAGGTCATCTGGGTCCCTGCTCTCTGCCCAGCCCCTGGTGGGACTGGACCAGGTAATTTAAAATAAGAGGTAAGAGGTCCAATTAGAGCGAGCGAGCTGAGTGGTTGTGCGATCACGTCCCAGAGACCGGCAGCGCATGCAACATGGCTGACCAACTGACTGAAGAGCAGGTTGCAGAATTCAAAGAAGTTTTTTCAATGTTTGACAAGGATGGTGATGGAACTATAACAACAAAGGAATTTGGAACTGTCATGAGGTCTCTTGGGAAGAATCCCACAGAAGCAGAGTTACAGGCCATGATAAATGAAGTGGACGCCGATGGTAACGGCACCATTGACTTCCCGGAATTCCTGACAATGATGGCAAGAAAGATGAAAGACACAAGCAATATAGAAGAAATCAGAGCAGCATTCCGTGTGTTTGACAAGGATGGCAATGGCCTTATTAGTGCAGCAGAACTTCGCTATGTGATGATGAACTTTGGAGAGAAATTAACAGAAGAAGAGGTTGATGAAATGATCAGGGAAGTAGATATTGATGGTGATGGGCAAATAAAATACGAAGAGTTTGTCCAAATGATGACAGCAAAGTAAAGACATTGCACAGAGTGTGTTAAATCTCTTGTACAACATTATTTGCCTTTTCTTTGTTTGTAACTTATCTGTAAAAAGTTTCCCCCTACTGTAAAAAAAAAATTGCATATATAGTGATTAGGACTTCATTCCTCCATGTTTTCACCCCTTCGCTTACTGTTACTATTCTGAAACCTTATTTTAGAGAATTGATGAAGTAACATGTTGCATGGGGCATATTATATCTAAGCCCTTCTGTACATCTAAACTTAGATGGAGTTGGTCAAATGAGGGAACATCTGGGTCATACCTTTTTTTAAGTAGTTTTTCTTCAGGAACTGTCAGTATGTTGTAAAAGTGTGGAGTTGTAACTCTGCATGGACAATGGACAGTCAACAATATGTACTTAAAAGTTGCACTATTGCAAAACAAGTGTATTATCCAGTACTCGTACACTATTTTTTTTGTACTACTGGTCCTGTGCCAGAAATAGTTTTTACTGTTGCTTGTTTTTTAAACTTTGTTTAGCCACTGAAAGAAAATCTGCTTATGGCACAGTTTGCCTCCAATCCATTCCAAGTTGTGTATTTGTTTTCCAATAAGAAAAGTTTATCCTGCCCGCCACCCCCAAATAAAATGAAATAAGAGGTAGGAGAATGGGTTTGAGGATCCCAGACAGGACTCAGGGCCAACGTTGCCCTTTACCCACTGGGCAATCCAGGCAGACACCTCTCCTCTCTGTGACTGTTTCTTTCGTCCAATGAGGACGTGGAACCAGAGAGTTTCTAAGGCCCTGGGAGCCCTGACCTCCATGATAGCGTGTACTTTTGTTGAGCTCCTACCAAGTGCCAGGTACTTGATCTGTCCTCATGGTGCCCCTGCAAGGAGGTATTACTAGACCCACCCAGCCCGAGGCTGCTAGCTGTCCTTCAAACCCATGCCCCTTTCTACCGGTAAGTGGCCAGAATTTCATTGCCAGCATCCCTTGGAGTTAGGAACAGGCACGTGGCCATTTCTTGCCAATGGAATTGAACGGAAATAATGTGAGCCCTTCAGGGGCCTGGACAGAGACTGTGAGCTTCTTGTCCATCTCTTTCCCTCTCTCTCAAGTCAGTCATTGACAGGCCATTGACTCGGGAGAGGAGGACACTGCCTAAGGGATGGGGAGAAAGGAGGTGGAAGGAACCGGGTCCCTGGATGTTTGCATGGAGCAGTGGTATGGGATGCTCACCATAGATGGTGATACATTATCTTCCTTAAACCATTGGCTTATTGTGTGTCTCTTTGCTATAGCAGCTTAACCTTACCCAAATACCCTCATGTCATGAGTGTGTAAACCTGAGGCTCAGAAAAGCCCACCCCACAGGCTCCAGCCCCAGCCCCCAGATCCAGCTCTCACATTGGACATGTCCCTTAGGCCTTGCTCTGTCCAGGGAACTTCCCAGGGCCCGCCCAGCTCTCTGAATGCCTGAGGGCTCCTGGCCCCGCAACTCTGCTCTCCGCCACAAGGCCTCACCTGCTGCTTGTTCTTGTCCTTCAGGCCTTAGCTGCAGTGATAGCTCCACCACCATGTCTGGGAGAAAACAGCCCCCTTCTTTGCATGTCATTGAAAAAGGGGATTCAAAAGGGAAATCCTTAAAAAGTCACCTATGTACCTACACATCGTGTTAGTTCCTTGGTTTGCCTTAACGCGTGATCACAAACCGGGTGGCTTAAAACAGGAGTTTATTTTATCACTGTCTAGGGGTTAGAAGTTTCCCATGAGTGTTTGTGTGTCCCCCCAAATTTATATCTTTAATCTCTAATCCCCATTATGTCATGAGGGTGGAGCCCTCATGACATGGGATTGGTGCCCTTATAAGAAGAGACAGGAGAGAGACGATCTCACTATCATGTGAGGACACAGCAAGAAAGTGGCCGTCTGCAAACCAGGAAGAGAACTCTCAGTAGGAACGGAGTCAGCCGGCACCTTGATCTCGGACTTAACAGCTTCCAGAACTGTGGGAAATAAATGCCTGTTCTTTAAGCCACCCAGTCTATGGTATTTGTTATAGCAGCTGGAGCACACTAAGAAAAGTTTAAAATCAAGCTGTCAGGAGGGCCATGTTCCTCTGAGACTCTAGGCAGAATCCTTCCTTATCTCTTCCTGATTTTGGTGGTGCCTGACAATCCTTGGTGCTCTGTGGCTTGTAGCTACATCACTCCAATCTCTGCTCTGTGGCACATGGCATTCTCCCTGTGTGTCTCTGTGTCCCTTGTCTTCTTTTTTCTTTTTTAAAGATTTTTATTGGGGAATTGGGGGATGGGAACAGCGCTGGGGAATTGGGGAAGGGGGAACAGACAAGTTGCTGTCCTTTTGTTCTTCAGTCTAGTTGTGGAGGACATTGCTTCACTGGCCCAAGTTGGCACCATCATTGCGCTCTTCCTGGGCGAGGCAAATCAGTCGCCGGCTTCTGGAGGGCCGCTCACAGCGGCTGCTGGCGACTCACAGCAGTCCAGCTCCAGGTTGAGCTGTTGTTCAGCATCTTAGCTGTAGAGGACAGTGTCACTGGCCCTCATATGTGGGATCCGAACTGGGGCCCTGCTGCACAGAGCTGGTGTCCCAAGCCAGGTCTTAACCAACGCGCCACTCGGCCGGCCATACCTTGTCTTCTTATAAGGACACCATTCATATTGGATTAGGGCCCATCCAATGACCTTATCTTTACTTCATTACACCTGCAAAGACCCTATTTTCAAATAAGGCCACATTTAAAAGTACAGGGGTGGGGAAGTTAGGATTCCAACATATCATCTTTGGAAACACAACTCAACCCATAAAACACATTTTATTTTAACTTCCAAGGAGTGAGCTATAGTCACTGAACTTTCTCAAGGCTTCTCCTTTTATTATGGGTCCATCCCTTGCAGTTCCTAGTCGCGTGCTTTGTGAAATCCACATGGATGGGACACTGTCTCTGACACCCAGCTTTGGGCTCTTCGAGGTGGAGGGCGAGTTGAAAGGCCCTTGCAACGTGGTTGGCAAGTGGAACCAGGTAGACTCTGACAATCTCCTCCTGCCCAATTATTTACATCTGCCTCACCCACACCTAATTTGACAGCTGACTTTTTTTTTGTATGACTCAGATTGTATCTTTCAAAACATTTGGCTGAATTTTCATAAGGAACAGCATCCCTCCCTTGTTTGTGCACTCCTGTTTCAACCATTAATATAACATTTAATTAGATTACACAACAATAATTTACAATGACAAGTTAACTGTCAGAAATGCTTTAGGGAACAAAAACAACCAACCGGTGAGCGGTGGCACCCCCAGACGGTGTGGGGAGAAGTGGCAGGGCCCAGTGGAGGGGGCTCCCAGTGCAGAGGAGTGAGTAATGCGTTGGTGGGGGCAGCAAGGGGGACTTGGCTTACACGGTTCTTATCCAAGGGCAGTGGTGTCTAGACTGGGTACACCTCTCTGCAGCCGAGTGCCCACATGCTGGGCACAGCAGGGCAAGCCAGCCCCTTACTGAGTTCTGTGATAATAAAACTCTTCCTGGCCTCCCAGTCTATCCCCTCACTTGGGGCCCCCGATCTTCACTCATGGAGTCTCAAGTCTTTTAAAAACCAAGGAGCAACACACCCCTGGGAAGGCTATTATAAAAAACATGGATCATAACACGTTTTGACAAGGATGTGGAGAAATTGGAACTCTCATACATTTCTGGTGGGGATGTAAAATGGTGCAGCCGCTGTGGAAAACAGTTTGGTGGTTCCTTGATGTGTTAAACAGAGTTACCATGTGACCCAACAATTGTACTCCTGGGCATATACCCAAAAGAACTGAAAACAGGTGTTCAAACAAAAACTTGTACATGAATGTCCATAGCAGTACCATTCACAAGAACTTGGAATTGTTAGAAAGGACCCAAGTGTCCTTCAACTGATGATGACATCAAGTGTAGTCTATCCACACAATGGACTATCACCCAGCCATAATGTTACAGTGTGGAGGAACTGTGAAAACATTACGCTAAGTGAAAGAAGCCAGTCACAAAAGGCCACATACTGTATGATTCTACTTGTATGAAATATCCAGAATAGGCAAATCGATAGAGACAGAAAGCAGGCTTGTGGTGGCCAGAAGCTGGGAAGAAAGATGGGGCGTGATTGCTTAATGGGCTTTCATTAGGGTGATGAAAAAGCTCTGGAAACAGATAGTGGTAATGGTTGCACACAACATTGTGAGTGTATTTAATGACACTGAATTGTACACTTAAACATGGTTGAAATGGTAAACTCTATGTTATGTATATTTTACCACAATTTTTTAAAAAGAACAAAACCAGGACCAACTCCAGTCCCCTCCAGGGGCACTGTGCTCAGGACAGGCTCATTTTAGCTCTTCTGGGGGTCTCTGCAGGTATTTCCAACTGATGATCTCATTGGTGTTTCCAACACCCTGGGAGCTTTGAAAACCATGCCTGGCCCAGGCCTCTCCTGACCCCCAGCCTGCCCAGCAGGATCTGCAGGGGCTGCTGGGCTGCAGAGGGAAGGGAGTGGGTGGCGATGCTCTGAGATGGAGCAGGATCAGGGCTGGGGACGCGGGGAGGCTGGCAGCTGGCAGCTGGTGGCCCATCTGGAGGCTGGGCTGGGTTCAGGGAGTGGGCTACTTGAGACCCATGCTTTGTCTCTGAATGTTGTCTGTCTACAAACTAGGGAGGCTGAAGAACTTCCCAAGGGAGGGTATTGGAGGGGGCAGGGGGGCAGGGAGGGGCACCCTACAAAGAACTGCTGCTGAGTAGGGGTTAACACCACAGCCAGCCACACCCTCAGGCAGCTCTCTTAACTGCTCTGGGCTTCAGTTTCCCTACCTGTTAAATGGGGACAATAGCACCTGCCTCCTAGGGTGGTATGAAGAGTCAAAGAGATCCACATGTAAGGGGCTCAGCAGTGCCTTGCGCTGGACAGGGGGAAAGGAAAACACCACCCCACTTGGCCCCTTTAAGGTGCCTTGTCTATACAACCCCCCCCCCAGAGTTCCCCAGGTGCTCTCAGGCTGCTCTATCCTTGGGAGAACCTGACCCCGACATTGTCCAGGAAAAGCACTCAGTCAATTATAGTATTACTGTTGGTGAAATGCAGAAAGCACCTCCCTCTGTTTGGACCAAGGGTGGGCAGTTGAGTTTGAAGTCAGGGAGCTGGATGAGATCATCATAAGGCCAGTGGTACCCTCACACGGGCTTCTGGTGGCCTGGGCTAAACTGCTTGAAGTTAAGCATCGTTTTAAAGATTGGAGGGGTGGAGGCTGTTGAAAGGCAGGGAAGGGGGTGCTGGGAGCCAGGATGGACGCATAGAACCTTCATTGCCCCCACCCAGCTGGACTCAGCAACTGGACACTGGCTGGGCCATCTTTGGGCTGGTTTCATCTTTTCCTGGGACACATCCTCAATCAGACAGTCTGAAACCCTGAAGCCTGATTGCTGCCCACTCTCCCAGAGCTGCTTTATCAGTCTTGGCCTCCCTAAAACCTAATCTAGTGACTTGAGTCAACTGAGCGGATGGAAGAACGCTGGACTTGGAGTCAGAAGACCACTGATCTCAGGGAAGTCAGCAGGCCTCAGTTTCCTTATCTGTAAAATGGGCTGGTTCCTACTTCCATGAGCTAGTTAAAGATTAGATAATAAATGTCATAAAAGATTTTGTGGATTGCAGAGCAATCTACAAATCACCACAATGAAGGTATTATTATCTGTGTCCCAAAACCTCCTTCCCTTCCTAATGCGTGTATTTCCCAGATCTGACTCCTGCCCCAGTTCTGATCGCAGGGGTCTGACCCAGCAGCAGCAGGGGACTGAGGAGACTAGAGGGGAAGCCCAGGACCCCAGGGCAGGGCTCTGATGTTACACCAGGGAAATAGGGGGAACCCAAACTGGAAAATCAAACCGCACACTGTGCTTTTTCCTCCACTGCTGATCTGTGCCCATGGGGGAGAGTCCCCAGGAGAAATGGGCTCAGCTGGGGCAGTTTGTAGGGGACTGCAGGCTCTGAGTGTGACGTGGAGAAAATTTCTCCTGGGCTTGAGAGAGGGATCTGTGCTGCTGTGACCCCCACCCTGCAGCTGCCTGGCTGCTCTTTACAGTGTAGTGATGTATGTGTCTGTTGGCCCATCACACCCCCACTGACCCCCACAGGACCTCTCTTCCCACCCCACCCACAAGCCAAACCCCAGGGTAGCATGACCTTCAGAAACCCCATCTGGGGGCTGCCTTCACCCCAGCCCTGGAGCCCAGATCACACACCGGCCATGGAAGGGTTAAATTCTGGGCACCTGCTCAGCACAGGAGCAGCAGGTCTTTGGGACCCAGATATGTTCCCAGCTGTGTCTGAAGCAGTCCCTCCACCCTTATAGTCTCTAGATGGGCTCATCTGGACCAGCCCCCGCCTGCCCAGGACCACTGTGAAGCTCCTCTGATGACTGGGGGCCTCCACTTGGAGGTGTCCTCTGTACAGCCTTCCAGAGCTGGCAGCTCTCATCTGCACTGTCAATTGCTGGTGCAGGTCCTGGGGGTGCAGCTCATCTGTCCCTCACACAGGGCTGAGAGCACAGTAGGTGCTCAGAGGGGGCCCATCAGCTAATGCTACCAGGAGACACAAGCAGGAGAGGGGGGCACCTCCCCACTTGGCCCCTTCAAGACGCCTTGTCTATGCAAGGCCCTGAGTCCCTCAGCCCTCAGGCTACTCCACCCTGGGAAGCCCCACCCCCCACATCCCAACATCGTCCAGGAAAAGCCTCACTTTCTCACTTCTCCTCCTTCATTGGGCGAAAGGCAGAGTTGAGAAAGATGCCTCGATTGTGACCATTTGAGATTCATCAGTCACTTGTGGTCCCTCCTGCCAGCCAGGACTCTTTATGGGTTTCTCCCCCCAGTTGCTCTGAAAGCTGTCAGCCTATCTGTGTCCTGGTGCCCCCTAGTCCCCTCCTCATGTCCTCTTCTGTTCAGCTGGCTCTTCTCCCCATCTACTTAAGGGGACCGAGCTTGGGGAATTGGCAGAGCAGGGTACCCCACATGGCCTTTGGAGACACCCTTAGCTCTTCTCTGGGGCCAGACCCTCACCCACTGGACCTCCCGTCCCTCCAGGGAGCTTTGGACCTCTCAAAACCAGTCATCTCAGCTGGCTCCTGGTGTCCTCACTATACGCCCTTGGGTGTGTGCACACACACAGCTGCCTGGTTCTCCTCCCTGGTCATAGACCCAGGGCCAAGGCCCAGGCTGCCCCAGGCCCTGTGTGCCAAGAGTGGAGTTTCTGTGTCCACCTGTCCCGCTCAGGACACAGCTCATACCAGCTCCCACCACACGCTGCTATGGCTGGGCGTTCTCTCTCGGCCGCCTCGTGGTTTGCGTGGCTGTGGAAAGTGCAAGGGGATTAATGACCCCTGGGAGCAGCCTTCATCCCAAGACTGAAGGAGTTGGTGGGTAAATATCCCTTGCCCCTCGTGTGGGATGACAGAGGCGTGTGTTCCACTCCGGGTCCCCAAGCGTCCACAGCAGAATAACATGCAGCTGCCCAGAGGGGTGCACACCCACCCTTCCTGCTGCCTTCCTTTCCTGACCACGCACCCCACCTGCTCCCCGTTCTCAGCTCAGCTTCTCCTCTGGGGCTGGGACACTCTCCTGTCTGTCTCCATTGCCACACCTTTGCTCAAGTTGTACCCCTGCCCACCGTGTCCCTTGCTGGCATCATTCACCCATGGCCCTTCTCTCCCTTATAAGAGCTGCCCTTATCAGCTGGGCCTGGCAGGACCCACCTCTTCTCCGCAGTCCTCTACTAGCCCTCAGGGGCTCACCCAGCACCCCATCATCCTTGATCGATGTGAGTGCCATCACATGTCCCAGCCACACAGCAGCCCTGAACTCTGAAAATGGCCTCCGTTTCCCTGCGGGCCCCTCCCCGCAGCCCTGGCACAGTCCGGAACTTCACAAATGCTGGTTGAAAGATAAATATTATTATTTACATCATCCACCCTCATTTCCCACCCCTGCACCCCCAAAACCCTGTTCTGGCTGTCCAGTACCTCTGGACATGGGTGGGTCCAGTGAGGGCTGGGTCAGTCTATACCTGGGTATAAGCGACCATCTGACTATTTGCCCCAGGGCACTAGGGGCAGAGAGGGGCTGAGGGTCCTGCCCCTTCTCCTATCTTGGCTTAGCTAACAGTGCTGCCCCAGAGGCCATCCAGGGGCCACAAGCTCCCTGTGACCACCGGATGGGTTGCCCAGAGGCCAGATCTCTGAAGCCAGCAGGCTGGATGGCCCCAAGTATTATTCTCTACCTTCTCAAAGGGAGGCTGGCTTGGCTGGGGCACACTCTGGCTCTTGCTCACAGGCCACTCCGTCACCCCCTGCCCCCCATCTTCTCACAAAGTGGGAGACACCTGAGGCAGGAAGTTAAGGAGAGGGAGCCCATGTGGCCAGTAGGGTAGTAAAGGTCCAAGGGTGCAAAGCAGCAAGGCAGGGCATTTCTGGTGTCAGTGCCACAGGGCCACATGAAGTTCTGGTGGCTTGGGAGGATTTCTAGTGATATGGCCTGATGTCTGATGGTGCCACCGATTTCTAATGTCTCCAGGGCTCTGACAACGTGGCATTGGTTCCCAGCGGTGTTGGAAGGCATTGCTAAGGTCTGGAGGCATCATCATGGTGGTTAGGATGCTGTCACAAGAGTTTCCCATGATGCCCCTGGGGCAGCGAATTGCCCCTACAGTTGCTGAGGAAGCCCTAGGTCTCCAGCGCTGGCCACCTTGTGTTCTGGGAGAAGCCACCTCTTGGAGGGAGCATGTACTGCTTTGGGTTTCCCAGGTCCCCATTCCCACTCCGTTCCCACTCCGTTCCCAGTCCATTCTCTAAGGAGGACTGGCCCAGCCCAGTCCTAGGGGTTATTTTCCACTTGTCCTGTGGCCCAGACTGTGGCTTCTCTCATAGATCTAGAACTCGTGTTCAGCCAGGGATCAGGGAGGGGCCTCCCAGGTCCCAGGGCCAGGGCTCCTGGGGGCACAGGGGGTGGGAAGGAGCTGGTCCCCTCCACAGACAGAGCAGCCAACTGAGCCTGGCGACCGTCTTCCCCACCACAGATCTCGGGGGGCTGCTCCATGGCCCTCCAGCTCAGACCGCTGTGGACTGCTTGATGCTGTGAAAGCTGACACGGGTCGGGGAGGTCGGGATGGACATGGCGCGGGCTACACGGGCGCGGATCGAGTGCTTGTCCTGCCATCGGTGCCACCTCTTCCGGATGGCAGAGCGGACCTGTAGGCACAGAGCAGAGCATAACAACTGAGCTCAGATCTCAGGAGCCCCCTCTTCCCCCCGGGGCTGCATAAACAGCTGTACCGGTGACCAGTGCGTAGGTGTGAGGTGCACCGGGGGCCACATAGGAGGTGGTGACTTTCACATCCTCAACATTGTTGATCTGCATATTTGTTGGGACAGTTTTCTCAAGTGTTCTGAGGAAGGGATGCCTTTTTCTAACCCATACGAAGGTGCCCAACGGCCTTTGCTATGAAGAATCCCTGCTGCCCTCAACCCACACGCATCCCCTGCCCCAGGGCTCAGTCCCTCCTGGTTTTCAACCCATTTCACAGGCTCATTGATGAGACTGAAGTCCCGGCTCCCCCATGCCAACTGCCTAGGAGAGCAAAGGAGCGGGCTTGTGACCACAGGAGCAGCGTGGGCAGGTGGCAAGGGCCCTCCTGGGGCTCCCAGCAGCATCCCCATAAAAACCTGGGGGCAGCGAGGAGAGTCGGCATATGGAGGGCAGGAAGAGGCTATAGACCATCTCTGGTCCTGCAGGCCTCCTGCCATCCTGAGCCCCAGCCCGGGGTCCTTACCTCGCTGTTGAGGAAACAGTAGAACACGGACACGAAGAAGCCCTGGGGTGGAGAGAGAAGGCAGGTCAAGGGGCTGGGCAGGTGTGGCCCCGTCCGGGCTCCTCCGGGCTGCCCCCTTCCCTCCCGGGCCTCCTGTCTCTCCAGGTCTCTGCCTGGGAGAATGCCCACCGCAGGAGGTGCAGGAGGCGGGGCAGGGCAGAGGGAGGGGAGGGCGCTCTGTACCTGGAAGGATTCCAGGAAGGAGTTGAAGTAGATGAAGACGATCCGGGAGACCTCGTCCTCCCCGGGGTTCACGAAGAACAGCATGTACGTGATGCCCAGGAGGGGGAGCAGCACCAGAGTGGCCTTCACAGCCTTCCTGGGGTGGGGCAGGTGGGGAGGCCCCGAGTCACAGCCCATCCCAGAGGGGGCTAGACGAGGGCGGTGGCCGGTCCCAGGAAGGTCTGAGACAGGGGAAGCTGGGGTTTGGGGAGGGACGGCCAGGCCTAAGGGGAGAGAGACCCTGGGTCAGCGGCTGGGACTCTGGAGCCCCCAGGGGTGGGGGAGGCAGGACTGGCGGCTACCTGTACTGAATGGTCTCAGACGTGGTGGACGCCCGAAGTTTGGTCATGAGGATGCGAACGATGTTGAAAAGGAAGATAAAATTGATCTGCAATGTGAGCACACAGTGGGCCATGTATGTGTGCAAGAGGTGGGGTGGTGAGTGGGTGGACAGGTCAGGGACTCGGCCGTCTCAGGTCTGGTCTCGGTCCTCCCTGCTGCTCTCTCTTCACCGTCTTTAGCACACTCCTGGCCCTGTGCCCCCACCTCTAGGCAGAGGGATCCTTGGGGCCCACAGTAGGGACTGATTACCCCTCCCCACTGTGCCCGTCTCCCGCCCCACTACCCAGGTTCTTACCAGCAGGACCAAGATCATGGGGCCCTGGTAGATGTAGTCGGTGTACACTCCAGGCCTTTTGCCAAACCAGCACCTAGAAGGCCACAGAGGGGAGGCGAGAGGAGGGGTCCACGTCAGTGGCATGGGGAGAGGGCAGTGCTGGGCAGGGCAGGATCGGGGGCTGGAAGCCAGGCTCTGGGTGCCCCAATGTCAACCCTGGCAGAAGGTCAAGCGACTTGATCCCACCACAGTGCCCCACTTATCCCATCTGCAGAATGGATTGCATCCTGTATTATGAGATGTAAAACTGGAAGCAGGCAGTATAGCAGGGGGAGACAGTGCAAAAAACCACTGAGTGGAACAGCCGTGGGCCCAACACACCCCTCGGCCCCCACTGTGGCTTTGGAACATGGTCACTGGTGGTGCCTTTGCCCTATACCTGTCACGAAATGAGCACCCAACAGCTAGCAATCTCTGAATCTGTTCAATTGCAGCTTGAACAACCTCAAGGCAGAGATTTTATAGGTTCTACCTGTCGCAGGAGGCAGACTTCCATTGCATTTTCCTAGATGCCTCCAGCAAGCTCTAGGGAGGTCTTGGGAGTGGGCAGGGATGGGGCACCCAGGAAGTCCTCTGTGCAGAGAGGATGGCCCTGTGGGCACGCAGACCCACAGGGCCTAGATCTCATGATGCCTCCATAAACCAGGACGGAGAGTTTATGTGAAACCTCTTATCTTTTTAAAGACTGGCAACAAATGTAAGTTTTCAAAAAACACTGCAGACCAGATGTGAGCTGTCTGAGGCCAACTCCAGTCCTTGGCTTCGGGTCTGCAAGATGTCTCATTCCTGGATCCCTTCTGTTGCAGTATCAGCATCCTACCACAAGGTGGCGCTCCAGAATCACTCAGATTGATTGTTCTACAACTCAGGCGTCCCTTTCCCTCCAAGGTGCACACAGACACACACTGGGCAGCTTTGGGAAACCTGTGCTTCCTCTTCTCCCGTTCTCACACCATACCTGCACACCTGCAGGCCCAGGCACCATCACCCAGGGTTTAGGATGCTGCTGCTTTGGGACCGAGTCTCCCAGTCGTGTCAGTCAGCTGTGCCCCCCACCCCCACCCCCAGCCTGGGCCCCACCCCACCGGCTGTGCAAACGTAGAGAGCCAGCCAGCCAGAGTCAGGAAGGATCAACCCAATAAACATGAACATAATTTTTCAGGCTCCTTGTCCAGCCCAGTGAGGTTGTGGTGGCCGCCCTCCCCTCTATAATGATGGGGAGGAATTGTTACTGTGATGGAGGCCGCCTAGAACCCGGGTCAGACATTGGGTTCCTGAGAACACTTTGGCAGAGAAGATCCTGGCATGCCCTTGTCTATGGTCCCTTGACTGCCTCTGTCTCTCAGTGGTTCTCAATCTTAGCTGCACAGTAGAATCACTTGGACAGTTAAAAAACATTCAGACCGGGCCGGCCGAGTGGCGCGATGGTTAAGAACCCGCTTGGGATGCCAGAGGGCCCCGGTTCGGATCCCACATATGAGGGCCAGTGACACTGCCCTCTGCAGCTAAGATGCTGAACAACAGCTCAACCTGGAGCTGGGCTGCCGTGGGTCGCCGGCGACGGCGTGGGCTGCAGCCCCTGTGGCAGTGGGTTGCCATGGGCTACCGTCTGTAGCCAGCAGCCAGCGTGAGCGGCCAGCAGCCACAGTGAGCGGCCGTCCAGAAGCCGGCGACTGATCTGCCTCCCCCGGGAAGAGCACAATGATGGTGCCAACTTGGGCCAGTGAAGCAACGTCCTCCACAACTAGACTGAAGAACAAAAACAACAGCAACTTGTCTGTTCCCCTTCCCCCAATTCCCCAGCACTGTTCCCATCCCCCCAATTCCCCAATTAAAAAAAAAATCTTTAAAAAAAAAAATTCAGACCAATTAAATCCAAGCCTGGGGGTCAAGCCTGGGCATTGGTGCTTTTTAGTGAAAAGTACCTGGGTGATTCTAATGAAAGCCAAGGCTGAGAACCACTGCAGTGGAAGTCTAGTGTTCAGGAGTGGCAGGAAATACCTGTGCCCATTTAATAAGGCACCTCAGGACTTCAGAGCTGGAAGGAGTCTCTGAGATCGTCTGGATCAATTTCTATGAAGTCCATGAAATCTTTTTTTTCAAAAAGAAAATCTTAACATGAATAGAAAACATTTATACTGCATTTACGTACTATGTGTCAGACACTATCCTAAATGCCAAATATACAGAGGGTGCCAAAAACATGTTTACACATTTTAAGAAAGGAAAACTATTAAAATTGTAATACCCGATATATACTGATAACAAAAGGTGAACACAAGTCGCGTTTGACTTCTGCAGTTACAAGAGGTGCTTAAAGTGGTTACCACCAGCATCCAGACACTTCTGATTATGGCGAACTACTGCTTGAGCAACATTGACCAAAGTGTCCACTCGTATACATTTTTTTGGCACCCCTAGTATATTAACTCATGTCATCCACACAACAACCCTTTAAAGGAGGTATTATTATTAGGGTGTTCATTTATAGATGAGGAAACTGAGGCACACTGTAGTTCCTAGCCTAAGGTCTTACAGCTACTTATTGATGGAGTCATAAGTCAGAACCTGGGCAGTCTGGTAACTCTCACTGGGTTCTGCCTATAGTGAGAGCCCAAGACAGATGAAAGAGCCTGGATCTGCCAGTCCAGCCCCACCTCAGGCGGGGCACTGGTAGGGGGCCTTGGGCTGAATGTGGCCCCCAGTGCCCTCCCTTTGCAGATGAGGAAACTGTGGTGTTGACAGGGAAAGTGATGTGGCTGAAGGCTCTTGGGGAGTGTCAGGCAGAGTTGGGCTGACAGCCTGGATCTTGGGGTTCAGGGGGCCCAGAGGGCAGTGAAGGGAAGAAGGTGACTTACTTCTCATTGTCGTAGTACAGTTTCCCAATGGCCCAGGCTACAATGATGGGGAAAGGCACACCTGGAGAAGAGACCGGCTGTCACAGGGCCCGTCAGTGGGGCCCAGGGGTGCAGGGCCTGCTGGATCTCAGTGCAGCCCAGAGCTTAGAGGCGGTCAGGGGTCCCCAGGGTAGAGCTTGAACCCACTTGCCCAACACACCTCCTTTAAGATGCTCCCACCTCCACTCCCAAGTAGGGGCAGGGGGCTGTGGTGCACACCCCACCACCCCAACCTGGCCCCACAGCCAGGTGGCCTGAGTCTGGGTAAGGAGAGGGCAGTCCAGCTGGGGCTGGGTGGGGGTTGGCCCTCTCACCCCAGCCAATGCAGATGAACATCCACTTGCGCAGCCGGTCAGTGGAGTAGGTGAGCGCAATGGCCGTGTGCAGGTAGCAGCCCTCCCCGAACATCCAAAAGAAGTTGGTCACATGGAAGTAGTTGTAGGCAGCTGTCACCAACCTGCACCAGCCCTGCCGCCCCACCCCCACCAGAGATGATGATGAGCCGGGAGATAGGGTGGGGGCAGTGGCAATACCCCACCCTGGGCCCAGGGCCTCCTCTTGGCAGGATGGGGCACCCCCGGGATCTGCTCCTGTTCTGTGGGCCCCAAGGCCTGGCCCGGCCCCTCCTTCGCCAGGGCAGCCCCGCCCGGATCCTTTCTCTGCCCCCAGCCTGCCCCTCCAGGACATACCACGTTGCTCTCGTGGACTTCAGGGCTCATGGTGAACTGGACCACAAACCACGTGGCATTGCGCAGGATGAAGGCCGCGATGAGGTTCCAGTGGATGATGTTCCTCAGGCACCGGATGCTCCTGGGGGCAGCAGGGGAAGGTCAACAACGGGAGCAAGGGGAGGGGAGAGAGGGTGAGGCACAGGCTGCCAGCGCCACGCCAGCCCGGATGTATGGATGGGGAACACGAGTGGGGCTGACTGGCTAAGTCACTCTGGGAGGTGGCAGCAGAAGCTCTCCTGATGCCCTGAGGGGCCTTTTCTCCCCATGGCCAACCCAGCCCTAAGCTCCTGGGGCAGAGCCTACTAAAGCCAATACTTCAGGCCCAGGGGCTGCCCCTTCTCCCTGGGCACCCGTCCCCTCCCTGTAGTTCCAGGTTTGAGAGTCAGAAAACATAAAAGGCCCCCAGCAGGATGCCTCCCTCCCAGGTGTCAGCTCTGAT